ACCGGCTAGTGCAGGTGTACACGTGGTGCGCCACCGATCGGTGGGTTAGTACAGTAGTCATTTTTAGTTACCGTAAGCTACAGTAAGCTGGCTACAGTATGTACAGCTACTGTAGTCCGTCCGGTGCCACCGCCCTACTAGGGGGTATAAGATAGGGGGACACTGGGCTGGAGGTAAACCGAGGCAAGCACGCCTCCCCTTACTTCCTACCCTAGTCCTTTACCGTACGGTTAAGTAAGTCCCTCAGGTTTCCAGCTCGCCACCGGTCGTACTGCTCTACACCCCAGTACGACTGCGCGTGTCCAGTGCGGTGTACCTCCCTTGTCCTGTGCTTCCTACCGTTCCGGATTATTCTACCTCACGCTCCAGAGTAGCGGTCCCCCAAGCTCCCTCATTTTAGGTACAGCCTGTCCTTTTCCGTTTACGGTTTAGCGTCCCTACGGTTGTACCACACGCCCCAGTATTCGTAGTGTGACAGCTGGTGATAAATTTAGTTGTCTCTCTGTCTATCCAAAGAACGGACATCAAGTCCCTTCCGTTTTCTGGGTTATTTGATTTCATTGAAACGTCATCTCCACGCGAGGAAACGTCTTGCCCTGACAAGTGCTCAATCGGAAACTCTATTGTTGCATTTTAACCATTCCAATGAACGTCGTACTATATTTCAGCAGTGCCTCAGCGGTTTGGAGTGATGAAAAATACGAATCTACGCACACTACGCGTACAGAACGCAACCAATGTCTGACCAACCTCAAAGTCTACCCCGTTCTGTGACTGTAACGGAATTCAGGTATCAGCACATCTGTTTGGCCCGTGACCAGTTACATTCTGACTATGCATCCAGATGTACCACATGCCATTGACATGAGCTTGCAACCATTTTCAGGTTCACCATAGTTGGCCACGTAGTACGGCAGGCCCATCTTGATCCAATATTTTCCAAGACGATTTCACCGACTGATGCTCTCGTCGACACATAAATGATCACATTGATAGACAAACGATTCATGGTGATAATTTATGGCCTTCATTAATCCAATGACTAGTGATCAATGTGACTCTGTCAGAATTAAATCTTCGAGCCCGGAAAGGTCATTGAACAATAAGTGAGATGGGAGGGATCTGAAAGTTCTCTAACATCATTTTGGCGAAATAATAAGTTGGAATGTATTTTGATGAAGGTTTTCCCAAAAGATCCAGACGGCTGAACACGGTGTGTTTTGATCATCAGAATCAGCAATCCAAAACTACTAGCATTTATTCTGCCTGTGACGAGGCGAAAATCGTGCTCTTCGAGTTTCACATAGTTAATAAGGCTTTTGATGGCCTCTAAGTGCTTCATAGGATACATAATTATAGAGAAATGAAACGGATGGAGGTCACGAGGACATAAAGAAATCACCAGATTTTCCAATCACCTCACCGTTCTTCTTGGTGAACGGGATGTCGACGGAGGTCACTGCTTCAGTGGTGGTCCGAATTCATCCATGATGAACTGCACATGCATTGCTGAAAGTGCATCAAACACCGTTTTCAAATAGATGAGATCTGGTTTTAGCTCCGTTTTGCCCAAAAATAAGAGTAAGGGGTGTGAGCCGGGACTGTCGGGTGCTGCACACGTCACAGACGTATCAGGACCGGGCTTAATGCTGAGAATCTTGAGCGTGGCTCGATTTATTCGATGGTGAACCTTGCAATCAACTTCATCTGATCTCCGCCTACGACCGTCCTGGACGATCTGGATCAGGTTGACACCCGTTCCGGTCACGCATATGTTCTTTCATTGCGGTCCGAATAAACGTTGGCATTCTGAGGCGGAAGTCACAAGCTTGCTCGGAAATGGACTAAATTTATTGTCACAGTACGGGAATCTAAACGGGTGGCCTCATCGAAAAACTAGTGATCGGGGAACACAAACGGGAGAAGTACACAAAATTGTGATGATATTCTTGATATCTTTTATTAGTCTTTCGTGTAGACTTCCCAAAGGTACCTCTTCGCATTTTAGCATATAAGATTGACAACGGCAACACTAAAAAAATAATTGTCCGCATATGAGGACAACGGTCCAATAAACACTAGCACAGGGGCTTCAACGCGAGAGGTTTGAGAATAGGACTCCTGCGCGCTGCGCTCCCGTGCCCATACGGGCAAGGCGTGCGGCAACTTGCACCCGCGTGGCGAGGTGGTGCGAAGCTGGGGGGCGGGGAATCGCTATTCGTTTGTCTTCATCATGCTAATGTCCTGTACAGTCAGCCCTCCCAATAGTACTCCCCCGATAGTAATAAACCCCCCAGTATGAATACCACGCGTCTTTCCAGCAAGAAAAAGTGTGATTTGAGATGCTATAGGCAGGTCATCTGGATACGGAAATAGTGTGTTGATTTCGCAAAAACACATTGAAAATTTATTAAAATTTGAAGTAAGACCATTTCGAATAAGAATACAGTAGTGGTCACAGAACACGAAACCAACAGGTATTTGTTGGGCGACCAACTCCCGCCTTTTTATTCACGATACCCACCAAGGTTTTGCATGGAGCGTACGGTCGCTGGCGGCAGCCCATCTCATCCCCTTGGCAATCTCCCTTCTCCCCCATCCCGCCCAAGTCATGTCAGAACGCAATCGCCTTACTATCGCTCAGCAAAAAGAGCTGCTTGCCGAGTACGATCTTCGCCGTCGCAACGGGGAACGCTGTGATCAGCGTTCTATTGGAGAATGGGCAGGTCGTTACTTTCAACTCAACCGACCTGTTCCGCAGTCTACTGTCTCGCGCATCATCAAGATGCGCAGCAAGCTAGAGGCGAGTGCATCCACAAATTCGAAATCTCTTCGGAACCCGTTGTCTTAACGATTTGATGAAGCTCTTGCTGTATGGATCAGCGACTGCGCAAGCCGCAACATCGCCCTTTCGGATAATATCATCAAGCAGAAGGCCGAACGTCTTTGGAAATTGACAACGAACGACGACAAGGCTCCAGAGCTTCGTTTTTCCAACGGCTGGCTTCAAAAGTTTAAGAAAAGGCATGGATTAAGACGCATATCATATCATGGCCAGCAGGCATCGGCTGCGTTTACTGAGGCTGAGAGAGCACTACCTCTCATCAGGACGATGCTTGACGGCTACAATTTAGACGAGATTTATAACGCCGACGAATTCGGTCTGCAGTACCGATTAGCACCCAACAAGACCATTGCCGCCACATAACTTAGTGGATCCAAAAAGTACAAGGCAAGAATCACGTGTCTGGCTTGCTGCAACGCTAGTGGAAGTGATTTAGTTCCCTTGCGGATAATTGGAAACGCTCGATCGCCCCGTGCTTTTCGGGGAAAAAGTGGGGAGGAGCTGGGGTTCGACTACAGAAATAATGCCAAGACCTGGATGACAAAGGCACTTTTTTTGAGTGGCTCCAATTATTCAATTCAAGGATGATTCAGAAAGGAAGGAGATTTCTTCTCTTGCTAGACAACTGTTCCGCACATGGAACGATGACAGAGGTAGACACATTGAACTTGTCCAACACGAAGATTGTTTTCCTTCCTCCGAATACCACATCAATCATGCAGCCATGCGATGCGGGAATTATCGCTGCTTTGAAGTGTCGCTACAGGAGGTTGCAAATGGGCAGAGCTCTTGACTTTATTGATATGGGAGAGAAGAATATATACAAGGTTGATGTGATACAAGGTATGCGTTGGATAAAAAAAGCATGGGAAGAAATGGACAGCAGGGTTATTCGAAACTGCTGGTGTCACACCAGAGTCGTAGGTGAGGATGTTGATGTGAACGGTGAAATTGTGTTGCACCGTGACCGTTGGGAACTTGACATCGGAATTGATCAAGTTGTACAAGATAGCAGCGAGCGAATGCGAGTGGAGTACCTACTTCATCACAAATCAGAAATGGAGTCTACAGAGCCAGTCACAGACCGAGATCTGGTTGTTTTTATCTCCGGTCCCGAAGAAGATTCGGGGAACACAGAAGGAGGCGATGAGGAAGTGTTTATGCCTCCCCTTCGTGAGCAGTTGCGCATTTTGGCTTCTGCTCACGTCATTATGAGCAATTATGACACCTCTGGGGCGGTTCTACGGGGGTTGGAAAAGGTGCACGGGGACTGAGACGTCAAGCGCGGGAGGAATTTTGTCAAACGAGAATCAGTGATTTTTTTAGGACAGAGTTATGATAATAACGCCTCCCGTAGTGATGAACCTCTGTCTATGGGTATCTTTGTCTTTTACGAACAGCACTCTTATTGGGAGGTTGCACTGTATCACGTGGAAGTGAGACAGTCTGTCCAGAGCAAAGAGCAGAGCGCTTGCCTCGTGCAGTATGAAAAAACGGGGCATGTTAAGACACACCCCTGAGGTCTGGTGTACTGCATTGATTCCCATTTACAGTGCGATGGATCGTACGCATGAAGAAAAGACAGTTTCTTCGGCGCCATTTGTCAGTCACACGGTCGAGCAATCGCCGGAGGGGCTGGATGCAAGTCTCTCATTTGAGACAAGTGCCTCCCATGCCCCTCGCACTATGAAATTGTTTCGCACCTTCCACACTGACGCAGACTGATCTGGATCTCAAGTGCGCTCTGGAAGGCCTCTGCGCCTCCTGCAAGACAACGTCTACAATTCCTCGCGTGCGGCTGCTCTGCAATCCCAAGCCTTTCTGAAGGTCTGCTGTGCTCATCCGGGGTGCCTTCCGAAATTGCGTGTCGAGGGCCCTTAATTGCGTGTCGAGGGCCCTTAATTGCACTCGAGAGTCGCGTCGTCATGGCCAGCGACTTTCATGGAAAGCCAACCAACCTCAGACGCGACGCGGCGGCCACGTGTATCTGGCGCAGCGGTGGCATCCACCCATCAAACGTGAACCTCTCAAAAAACGCAATCCACATAAACTCGCCCGCAACGCATCCTCACAACATCGCAACTCCCCCCTACCCTTCCACCGGCGGAGAGTCATGTCTACTCCCACCCTCACCACGCTGCTCGCCCACCTCTCGATGCACCCGTCCACACCTCCGACTCGCCTGCAGCCGCATCACCTCGACGCCGTCGTCCACATCTTCGCCGACGTCTGCCTCCCGTCGCATTCGCAACCATGGCACATGCACGAGCAGACTGCCATCTCTTCCTCTGGCTTTCTCATCGCCCCGCACACAATCCTCACCACGGCCCACGCAATCCTCTCCCGCCTCGCCGTCGTTCGCGTCAAGAAACGTACAACCCCTCAGAAATATCTCGCACGAGTCATCGACATCGCCCATGACTGCGACTTGGCCCTCCTCACCGTCGATGACACCGCATTCGCAGCTCCCTTCCTCCCCATTCCGTCTGGACCGCTCCCTGCTCTGCAACAAAACGTCTACGTCGTCGGCTATCCCTCTGGCGGCCACAACATATGTATATCCGCCGGTGTAGTGTCTCGCATACACATTAAGCGCTACGAACAAGCAAAAGGCATGGGCTACTTGCTCACCGTTCAAGTCGATGCCGCCATCAACAGCGGCAACTCTGGGGGGCCCGCCCTCGACACTGACAATCGAGTTGTCGGCATTGCATTCGAGTCTGCCGCCGGTTCCTCCGCCGCGCTGGAGAATGTCGGCTACCTTGTCCCCGTCTCCGTCATCAATCATTTCCTGTGCGACGTCGAGCAGCACGGTAGGTTTCGCGGCTTTTGTGACTACGGCTTCATGTGGCAACGCATGGACAGCCCTGCCTTGCGCAGATACTTCACCATGTCGGCCACTGATACCGGCATCCTCGTATGCGACGTCAAGCGAACAGCCCCGGTATCTCACATCTTGCGTCGCGATGACATCATTACGCACATCGAAGACGTGGCCATTTCAAACGCTGGCACCGTCCCCGTTGATTTCGCAGAGCCCTTGCCATTCCATTACCTCATTTCGAACAAGCGTCCTGGAGATAAAGCCCGACTGCGCGTCCTGCGGGACGGTTCGCCATTGCGACTCGAATACAAGCTTTGCGAGGCTTCTGAGCACGTCCTGGTACCAGTCCGCGAGCTGCGAGCACAGCCAGAATATTACATCATTGCAGGCATTGTGTTTGTCGTCTTGACCATCCCATACTTGGAAGCCAACTTCGGGGTCGACTGGGCCACGCGTGCCCCGCCCCGACTCGCAGAGATTACGCACAACAATCGCAAGGAGTTTAAAGATCAGCAAGTGGTGGTGGTGGCACAAGTGCTTTCGTCGGAGATTATCTTGGCAGACTGCGCCTTTCACGACTCTGTTGTGACTAAGGTCAATGGGACTGTTCCCAAAAACTTGAACCATTTGGTGTCGTTGGTACATGAATGCAAAGAGGCCTACGTGAGGCTAGAGCTGGATGGCGACTTTGTTGTTGTCGTCGACCTCGAAGAGGCCAAAGTTACCGCGCAGGACATCATGACCAGACATGCCATTCCAGCAGAACAAAGCCTTGGGGACCTGGTGAAACAATCCTCTTCCGTCGCCGCAGCCGAAACAACGAGCGCTACTGCGAGCCAAACCGTAACCCCTCCATGAGCAGGTGGTCACGAACAACTAAAGCGCACAAAATTAGTGGAGCACAAGAATCGGGACCAAACTAAGCTTTCTTGCCTCCGTTTTGATGACAACAACCCCATCGGCTTGTCCATATACACAATATGACCAGTTTTCAACAAATTCCCCTTGGCAAGAGACTTTTTCGTGGAAGGGCGACTGCGAGCTGCAAGAACTCAATAAAGACATCCGTCAAGGTGGAGACAAGAGTTGATCCGCCCTTATACTTATACGCATATCTGCCGGTAGGATTGGCACGATGCTTGCTTTGACGGCGGGGAAGGCGTGTTTGTGATTGCAGTTCGATACCAAGTACCGGCTGATACATGAGGACCAATGCGTACCCGTGGTACCGACTTTTCGCATCTGTTCGTTCTTGAGTTGCAAGAAAATTGAGAACGCGCAGCCTCGCTCTGAAAGGGCCTTGCTGCGCTACTCCAGATGCGAGCAGCTTGGTTGCAGGCTGCTCGGGGCGAGGGAAAAGCACTCTTTTCCAGACCAGCCCTCACCGAGCTGATGGGGACGGGGATCGTGAATGTCTCCGGGTATGCAAGTGTCCACAGCACGAAGCGATAGCAAATGGTGTAGTCTAGATGTAAGCGACGTTTCCCAAGCGCCTCGCACGAGGACGGTTTTCGCTAGGCGCCCCTGAGCTTCACGTGACCGGGTAGTTGCCCCGGGAACGGGGTGCGATCTCCAGACGCGGGCATCTCCGAGTCGGGAGACGAGCGTTCGCTCGTCGCGCGCTAAACATCGTCAGACTGTTTCATGCTTGTTGGGGCTTGGAGTTTTGGGTGCTTGATAAGTCTTGCTGACGTCAGACTCAGCACGAGCAGTTAGGATACCGAGAGGAATGGAACTGTGAAGTGCGATGCCTCCGTCGTCCATACTGTACAAAGGGGTACCCCTATGGGGTACCCCTATGTTTGGGACAAAACCCCTGTTACAGGGACAAACAAAAAATGTCAAATTTTAATCAAATTAAAGATCAAGGTTTAGAGAAGACGCCCTACTGGTCATTCCAAGCAATAAAGGAGGGTTGCCCTAATTATCGGTCACCCGCCCCAACTCGTCGGTCACCCCTAATTGTTCAAATAAATTCCCAAAAAATTAGATTCTTGTACACGTAAGGGGCCAAGTTTCAGTCCTTGGAGTATCTCCTTGCTGATTATCTCTGAAAGTCGTGGATAGATTTAAAAACAAATCTTTCCAATCGCTCTGCCAGATCGTTTTACCATGACAAACCAATCCGCCACTTAGCAGGAATGCAAATTAAGTGCATTCAAATCCCTCCGAAAAGGCGGGCTTATGCTTTTTGACCGAATCTTGCCATCCGATCCCTCCAGGGACACCATGAACGCCCATTCACATCCCATCCAAGCCCTTCCTTCCAAGATGCAAGCCGCTCTCCCGCAATTGCCTCGAACGCGGCAAGGCAGGTTTACGCGCCGCCCCTGCAAGTTCGCCTCTGACCCTCCACCACCCACCCTTGTTGTGCTGCGCCCTCTCCACGCTCTCGCATACGCCCTGGTCCCCACCGTTCCCCATGCGCCGCCCCTGCCAGTCCCCCTTGGACCCTCCACCGCCCACCCTTATTGTTCCCCGCTCTCTCTACCTTCTTGCATACGCCCTGCTCCACACCGTTCCCCACGCGCCGCCCCTGCCAGTATCCCTTGGACCCCCCTTCCCGCCTCTTGTACATAAACGTCGGTGCCGGGCATGTCCCCAACGGGGTTTCCACTCATTCACTCGATGACGTGGCATACAATTTTTTTATATTTAACGTTGGTTTGATTGGGCCAAATTAACCTAGTGACCGATCTTTAGGCACAAAGTCGTTTTTTCAAGGCCCTTTTTGTTTCGTAAACTGCGAGAATATGGTTTTGATTTCGAGCTTTTGGAGAAAACAGAGTGATTCACCGGTCTTTCAAGAAGCGAACGACACCAAAATGTCCGTGATCGACCAATCAATTCCACTTTTGATTTTATTTTCTTCGAAAGTGACCGATAATTAGGGCAACCCTCCTTTATATCTTCGCCACTGAGAACCCTGCCGCCAATGAGGAACTGCCATCTCCTCCCGAGCCACCCAAACTATGCCCGAAAAAATCAAGGGCGGGCATTTCTAATTTGTTCGAACACAGTGACCGGAATAGTGTCGGAAACCGGCCTTTTCGCCTCTTCCATAAATCGTATGGGGCAACCTTATTGTTCTCATTGCTCACACTACCCAAGGGTAACCCCTGCTGATGCTGAGCGATTTTCGCGCCGTGATTTGCATCAAAAAAATATGGGTGAGACCAGATTTCATGAGGAATTTGTCCCGATTCAAGGGGTATTTTCCCCAAAAGGAGTCTTTCTGAACCGTTCGTCAAATGAATCCCCTAAAATGACGCCAGTTCTTTGTCCCCTTTCTGGGGTTTGGCAAGATTGCCTTGGATATGCCGCAGACAATGACATAGAAACCGCAAACAACAGGTTACGGGAAGTAATGTTTTCTTTAAAAACGCCGTACTGTCCCAAACATAGGGGTACCACTGTACCTCCCTTGTACCCTTGGATAGGAGTTCTGTGTGACATGTGCTGACAGGACTTTTTCTCCTCTGTAAGGAACAAGGATGCAGGTGTCCAACGGGAACACGTGTACGGTTATATCCTAGTAGAAAACATTGCAACTATTTTTGTGGTGAGTTTCAAAAAACGCGTGCCTTGCTGATGGAGAGCGAAGCAAGAATGGCAAGCATAGGAATTTTTATTTCTCAACTACAACGCAAACCTCTTTGCATCGAAGCGCTTCGATTACGGCCATGAAACATGCCGAAGAGGGAAATGTCTTGTTTTACTGTCGTAGTTCATCTCTCTGCCATGAAAGAATTTGTCTCCGTGGAGAATCACAATTAAGTCATCCATCACCTCATCATAGACCAGGTGCAGAGAGAGAGAGTGATGATTTTTATTCGCACTGCTGATCGCAGGCGGAACAGGAGAGCAGCGCAGAAACTGCAAACATGCCACGACGGCCATTTCCAGAGCCGGGTCGCACTACCCTTAAAAGTGCAATGTTATAGAGGCTGGGGATACGGATTTCGGGAGGGAACTGACATGAAAGCCCAAGTGAGAAACCCACGATTTGGATGATTCCTGATGCACCATGGCTTATGCTAGTACGAAAATTATACCCAGATTCAAGAGGCCATGCCGCTAATTCCGCGCGCATTCATCCAATACTTTCACGCAACAGCAGAGATTGATGCGGAATCTCATCCCTCTCGATATTTTTGCTCAGTCCCCACCCATTGAGATCGCTTTTAGAGTCACTCTTCAATGGCAAATTTCCATCTCTGCACCCATGCTCGCCTGAGCCCCTGCCCATCCGACGCAATCATATAAAAGTAGGCTCAACCCGTTCCTTGACTTTTTCTTCTGTATCAAACCCTCCTTGGTCACTCAAACATTTATTCTGTGTTACGGGTCCTTCGAAATGGTGAAACCGTTTTTCGCTGTCATCCTGCTCGCGCTTCTGCCGCTACTTATCGCTACAACCATTCCTGCGACCATCCAGCTGTACAAGAGCCCATGTGGGGACAAGCAGATTATCAGGCGCATATGCCGGCTCAAGGAAAAGATGACGTCATCCTACAGTAACTGCGAGGTCGCAGAGTGTGACAATAACAGCAAGCCTGAGTTCTTGTGCCAGTGCATTACTTTGGAGTAGAAGGTTTCATTGCTGCTTGGTCGGAAAACAAGTATATTTTAAGTGGTGCGTAGCCTAGCACAAGAGATGGCAGCAATAAAAATAACATGACGAAACATGGCATGCAACCGTTCTGTTCCGATTAGGACCTTCCGTCCACAAGAGAATGAGCCCCAGGCACTCCATCCGTTTACATCGCGGAAGTCGGACGTTGGACATGGTGCAATGATAAATCCTGCAGCGTCTTGCACCGGGACGGAGGCCTGTCCATGCAATGGGAGAGGGTCCGGACATTCATTAGACGAGCCCAAGTCACGGAAAATCCTTGTTTCCCCATATCTGAAGTTCTGTCAAGACTATGCCCTCATACCCAGGAGCGTAAGAGTAAGTAAAGTACGGGGCAGATCGTATTCATTTTTTCCAACTTTGTCCCTAATTAATTCTTCCCCCCCAAGAAGGCCGCCCAAAAGTGTTCATCCGCGTTCAATAATGACAGTAGAATGTTTAACACTCTGCATACCGTACAGTACGGGTACAGTCTGGGGGACTGGCTGTGCACAGGTCTTGTGCGTACTGTACCTGTACGGTTATTCAGCGTCTAATACCATATGCGTCTACTCTGCTCATCTGAAGCTGGTTTTGTCTCAATGTCTTTTCATTCGCTTCGAATGCTTTCATAACCGCCAGCACATACACATTTTTATACGGTAGTCTGGAGCAATCTCAATTGCTCATACAGTATCGCACTCACGAGTATTGCGTGTGACGTCCACAGTCGTCTCAATAGGGAAACTGTTTCGGAATTCTGCGAGAGGCGGCATTAACAACAACAGAAGTTCCGGGTCGCTTTACTGAGAGATCTAAGACAGCCTAAGAAGACTTAAGACACTAATTCAACAGGATTCACCATCAATTACTATGAGCCATTCCAAAAAGGCCTCTCAACACCTTTCGGAAAATCCTGCGACTGCCTGCGGCCCTCCAGAAACTTAATGGGTGAAATTGCAGCGGCAGCTGAAGCCACGGCGAACGCCACGCTTGCAGCCAACAACCCTGCACTCCCAGTACTTGCCGGACGGATCGTTGGTCTTCTCACGGCACATGCGGGCGGCACGTCCCCTACCACCGCAGGGCCCACGGAAGACCATGTGGTCAGCCGTATCGATGTCCATGGCGGATGAAGAAAGAGCAAGAATGGCGACGAAGAGGAATGCGAGAATTGCCTTGACCATTTTGGAGGAGGGTTGGTTGTTGTGAAGATTTGAAGATGTAGGGAGATGAAGTTTGTGAGAGTGGGTGATGGAAAGAGTTAGGGACGTGAAAGGAAGGCAGAGCTCTCTTTTATATTACTAACTGTGGCGCCCCTTTGACCTACTGCTTGCATTTCTCTGGTGTGGCTTTTTTTAGACATGTTTTGGGGTGTGTTTTGTTTTGCTACTATTTGCTAAAGGTCTCCTAACTTCTCTTGACAACAGTGCATCGTGAAGATAGGGTTGCCCATCCCTCTCTATGACTGCTATCACACACTAACGAAGGTATCGACCATTCGGAATGTGATTTTCCCTGTCTTTTTATGGA